AATCCTTCTGGAAGGGTATCTATGAACACCTACAGCCACTCAACTTAGACACTCCAGCCCTAACGCAATTCGAAGCTTTCAACAGAGAGATTCAACAGTCTGAGCTCATTGAATTGCGCAACTCGATAACCCTGGATGACGTTCGAAGAGCCCATGTGGGTTCCACAAAAGCGGAGATTTGTCGATTTCTAGGAATTACAGTCCCATAACATGCTTGAATTCGTTTTATAAGTTGTTTACACGCATCTTATACATATAAATACTCACCGTAGTTGACAGAGTGTTCGAACGGATATATAAGCAGAGAGGGTCGAAGAGATGAGCTTCTGGATGTAGAAAGAACCTGCTCATCGATAGATGTGTAACGCAGGACTCGATACAATATAAGCGTAACCTCTCTATGGCCTGGATCGATCACCGCAAGGCATTTGATGCAACATCGCATGAGCTCATCTTGCATTTATTCAGATGCCTTGCGGTACCTGAGAAAATAGTGAGATGTATTGAATAACTGATACCACTCTGGCGAACTCGTTTCACCATGACATCTGGTTAAGCTAGAGTCCTAGCAGGGTGGGTCATTTTCAGAAGGGGTGTATTTCAGGGCGATTCCGTCAGTCTCCTTCTCTTTTGCATCTCACTATTGCCATTATCCGTTAAGCTCAGAAATACTCGAGGTTAAAACTGTGGCACCCCTGGAAACCGGAGGCACAAGGTCACCCATTTGTTTTATATGTATGATCTGGAGATCCCCATCAGTCCTTGATGGAGGTGGAGAAGTACACGCATGCTATCGGTATAAAATTCGGGATAGACAGATGTGGAATGGTCCATCTCAAAAGAGAACGATGCGGAGAGTACGGAGAGAATGTGCGTCTCGTAGATGGAATCATCCTACACCATCTGTATTCCGGAGAGACGTATATTTACCTCGGGGTGGAACAACGCCACTCACAAGAGGTGACAGCAGTGAAGAACTCTCTCCGCGGCAAGTATGAGCACAAACTTTGACAAATCTGGTCATCGGAACTGTCAGGTAAAATATAGAGATTTTCTTTTCGAACTCTGCAGACTCAATCCAGACGACTCTATGTCAATATGGTTGTTATGATTATTGGAGTCCTTGGTGGAATGATGCCCTCTCTACTCTCGAATCTACTCTAATAGCGATTATTGGAGTCCTACTCTAATTAGCGATTATTGGAGTCCTTGGTGGAATGATGCCCTCTCTACTCTCGAATCTACTCTAATAGCGCCTTGCCGCACTGAGGCAAAAATCTTAGCCAGACAGATGCAGAAGGCTGTCATTCTTGGCTCACTGCGCTTGCTCAGGGCACATGATTCTCGAATCCAATGATCACTCACCACACGGTGTGGGGAGTAGCCGTTGGTTGATAATGCCAGCGCGCCCTCCCGAATGTATCGGGTCTTCGAGGTATAGGACTTGACCAGCGCATACTACGGTAAAAAAAAGAACTCAAGAGAACCTGGACCAATTTCATGACTTTTGTGTTTTAGGATTTGTTTTCTCGGGAATAGGATAAAAGTATTAAAATATGATATTTTATCAATGAAGATAATAATAATAAGAATGATAGAACTCAAGAACGATTGGACCAATGATTANTTCATAGTGTTTCTGAAATCAATACGGAAGAAGTTTTTCAGTTTTTCAGAAAACAACTACTCCCCTGACTAATACCATGAAGGGCGTTGGATTTTATCCGACAGGGGTCAGTGCAGGATTCTTCACTGAAGTTATTTCCGCATATGCTGTTGGCGATACATACGTATAAGAAAATAAATATTTATCTCTTCCAACTACCTACACCGTAGGTTCTGGTAGATAGCTGGATGAACGAGGTATCTTGCATACATATCTGTCGAATATAATACAATATCTAGCGTGGTATTAGCCGGGGAAGTAGTTGTTTTTCAACAGAACTAACGAGTATTCGCAAGTGAAAATCATTTCAGGTTTCGAAATGGAGATACAGTTCTGGCGGCTTCATCACATGAAAACTGGATTATAAGAGTAAGAATTGATTCGTTCGAAAAATTTCATGAAATGTTGTTTTATTCGTTGAGGGGGCACTGTAGGCAATGCTTTCACTTCATCATAGTGACATGGAAGTTCTAAGTAAATAAACATCATACTACTACACTACATAACACGAGGATGGTGCCACAAAAATGGTATGTGCAAAATTATGTGATTGAGTCGGAGCACTACAAAAGTTGGAAGTAGCATAGGGCAGGTTGAACTTACTGGTTCTATTATAACATATGACTCATGCTTTTCTTTATCCGGTTCCAATCCGTCTACGTGATGTGATAGTTCTTCATCCCCGTACAGAAAGTGAGGAAAACTAGCTCCGATTGCAGTATCTAAAAAAAGATTCAGTAAAATTACAGTTCCCAAAATAATGGTATTCTTGCCATAATAACACGGTGACACATCTATCAAACCATTGGGTAATGTAGGTTGACCCTTGTAGCAATCCTTATATTTTGGTGAAGTTCTACTGTATGACAATGGATCCATTACGTACTTATAAGCTGTGACTCCATATTTGTTTACTTCCTCTGAAAAGATTATATCATTGTATTGAATTGTTGTTATTGAAAGAAATACAAGTTTTGATTTTCAGTGAACTTATTTGTTCTATCACTAATTTCCACATAAAACACGAATTTCCGTATCAACTTTAATAACTTAACTAGTTCGGACTTCCATTGTCTACTATATAAAATGATTTGAAATCCCTGAAACAACTAAAAAAGAAGAATTGAAAATGAATATAAATACGCAACATCAAGCGAAAAATGGCCAACTCCCGCCAAAACTGTCATCTCCCAGGGAACCAGTGAAGCGGAAAATCGAAAGCGGGTACTTGAACGACCTATAAATAGTCATCTCTCGGAGGAATCAGTCCAGTCATCAACCGAAGACGATTGTAGATACTAACAATCGAAACGTCGTGAACTAACGTGACTTGAAATCTCTCCATTTTTTATTTTTATTTTCTTTCTTCATTTCTTCATTTTTATTTATTCAATTGTTCTATTTTTACTTATATTTTACTTCACTATTTTTTCATTTCAGGTTTATTTTGGTTAATATAATTGTTATTTTCAGCTATTCATTTTCAATTCCTCTTTTTTAGTTGTTTCAGGGATTTCAAATTATTTTATATAGTAGACAATGGAAGTCCGAACTAGTGAAATTCATAATGAAACATTGTCAATCACCTTCAAACAAACTTTAATAACCTTCCAATTTAAATTTAATTTTGAAATGTAATGTAGTTCATTGTATACTTTGAAGAGAGTTTGAAACTTGATCATATTTTTAGAGAATCAAAAGTCGCACCAATGATTGATCAAGAATATCAAACAAAAAGTTGTAGATTTTTTCGAATTCATTCCATTGCAAATGTTCTACTCATGACAAAATAATAATAAAATTTCACAATGTCGTGTGAAAGAACAAGAAGTGTGAAATGAGGCCGATTTTGACTTACCTCGAAAATTCAATTCGGCCACTTTACAAAGAGTTTTCCTAAAGTATCTGATTGTATCGTTTTTCCTCAAATTCTGAGGATAACTTACACCCTCGGAAGATCCTTGAACTCTGTCTTCACATTTTCCGGCTCTGAATGGCAAAAATTTTGAACCGTCGTAGTTGTCTATTAGAAAAAAATTTCTCTCTTCGAACGTTGGGCCTATGTTGACAGTAACATTATCTGTGTAGTCGGCATAGATCTAAAATTTGAAGAATGAATGGTGTGCAAATTTCATCTCTTCGTTTTTAGAATCATATTATTTTCAAATATAATGTCAAAACATTATAATCTAATTCAAATAATCTCGTTATAAACTTGATATATGAAGCTCTTGGATTCGCGAATTTTTCATCCAAAATTCGAATAGCAATTTACTTCAACAACCCTACTACTGACCGTCGTCATCGTGAGCAGACGTGTGCTCGCTCTATTCCTACTATTCCCAACCCAAAATCTACAATGCCGGAAATTATTTTTCGACAACGTCTAGTCAGGCGAATCCTGAACCAGCTCAAAATCAAAAGGCGTCTGGTCCTGATGAAGTGCCCGTCATCGTACTCAAAAAGTATGCAAATGAACTGGCACCAGTATTTTGCAGACTTTTCAACCTGTCTTGAAAGAAAGGGGTTTTTTCTTCTGTCTTGTAAATTGCTCGCGTTCAGCCTATTCCCAAAAAGGGCAAAAAAATCTTCCAAAAAACTATAGACCAGTCGCTTTGCTACCATCCATCCATCATATCCTCAAATATTTGGAACGCTTCAACATTTTCAGCGATCATCAATATGACTTTAGGAAACAAAGATCAACAGGGGACCTTCTATCGTATGTCACCCATATTTGGAATAACGCAATGGAGAAATATGTAGAATCAAGAGCTGTTGCGCTTGATATTTCTAGTCCTTTGACGGTGTGTGGCAAGATGGACTGCTGGCCAAACTTCGATACTATAGCTTGTCGGATCATTTTTGTGTATGGCTCTTCAGCTTCCTGAAAGAAGTTTCCCTGCAAGTGGCTGTCGATGGATATCTATAGAATACTTTCACTATCAATGCTGGTGTTCCCCAGGGATACATATTGTCTCCAACCCTGTTTTAATTGTATATCAACGACTTATTGAAAAAAAACAAGAATCCAATATATTGCTTTGCTGAAGACAGCACACTTGTCTCCTTATTTCATTTAGATTCCAGGACATCGGCTACGAAGGCACATCTTCACCGGCAGCAGGAGGTTGCATACCTTATCGAGGATGTAGAAGTGATTTCGAATTGGGGTTCAATTCAATGCAACAAAAACTCAGGAATCGGTTTTTTTCAAGAAGATGAATGTATATCCAAACCGGATATAATAATGTCAGGTCAGACAATTCCGCTTTCTGCTTCGATAAGTTTGTTGGGGGTTGAAATGGACACCGATATGTCTTGCCACAATCATGTCGCTGTAATTGCAAAGGCTGCTTCTCAAAAGCTTGAAACACTGTTCGGAACCACAAAACTATACACAACTCAGCAACTTTTGATGCTTTGTAAACCTCAGATCGGATATCGTCGAATGACATTACTGGCTGGATGACGCGCGCGGACGTCCTTCATCCATATACCATTTCGTTCGAAACCAATTAACCCAGTTTGGTGAAAGACATACATTATATCGGAGTGAATTGCGTAGAGCTTTCAGAACTTTCGCCTTCTCCATTAATGGTGCTTGAATTAGCTTTGCTAACTGCCGTTAGCACCGTTTGACTCAATTAGACTCCATACCATTTGCTACATCAACTTCATTGTCTTTCAACTCTGTGAATAATTGATTGCACATTGGTAGCAGAATGAAATATATAGTAAATAACATGGTGAAACATCTTTTGAGCTGCTACCAATTGCGTCTAAATCAGATAGTCCCTTGAAATACCTTGTAGCTGCCCGTTGTAGTGTGTGAGTGTGTCCCATCCGTACCATTAAAATACCGTCATATATTGAGATGACGCAACTACGATACAATACTACAACTACTACGATACAATATTTCTACTTCACTTTCAGTGTGGTAGGGAACTTTATATTCATATCAATGGAAGACCATCAGTCCCCTAACAACCCCATATAACTGAGAGGGGTGATATTTGAACTGGCTAACCCAAGAACCATTGAAGGTTATCCTGAATAAATCTAGTGAAGTCCAATCGTAATGGACCTGTCTGATAATTATTACTTTATTTTCACTTACCCTGGCTAATATTCCAACATTTTTGGTAGGGACTAGCCGTGGTGCTAAATTTTGGGATAAGTCCAAAATTGGGTCACTGGAGTTCCACAAAAAATCTTGTACTGTGGTTTTCACAAATGGATTAGACTGCAACTTTCTCATCATCAAGTTGATGCCAAATTTCACTAGGAAAGGAGCGTCATAAAAATATGACGGAATGAACTGAAAAGCAAATAAAGAAAAATATTTTGAATATTTATATTACATTTCTTTCAGTCTCACCAAAACGGCCATATTTGGCATAATTATTGTTTCGTTCCGAAAGTCAATAGGATTCATCTCTGGTAAGTATATAGGAGTTCGGTTAGCCGTATAGGTAAAGGTACCATTATCGTTGAAAACAGGAAATGTGTGAATCAGTTTTTCTCTGCAAATAAACATGGTAGAAGATGTGATGATATATATTTCCTTTCTTATAGTGATAAGAGCATCTGAGTCAATAATGAATAAAATATATGATCCTATGATGCAACTGATGATTTCAAAGAAACAATGCAGAGGAAGAAGCAAGAAAAACTAGATCTTTTATTTCAAAAAGTGTTATTTAAAAAGTAAGCTCGGTTTTGGGATCCATATATGAAAAATGGTGACTTGCTGAAGTCACTTTCATTCAATAATCTAGCAAAATCAGACAAAGCATTTCCCTTGAGACCATTCAGTTGTTGCGGCAACATTTGGAATTTCAAGTTTGATATGATCGGCAATCAAATTACACTTCTCTTATGGCAGGTTTTCCTTAGATGTCGATCTTCAGATTCACTAGCATGTGAATATGTTGGTGAGGGATTGTAGGTGATTTCATGTGAATCCAGTGGTTTTTGTGAATTCAGTGAAAATAAAGCAGTACCGACCAGACACACGCGCTGTCTCTTCAAAAAATGAAGTGAATTTTTATTTTTGTCAAAACAAATATTAATTGACCAATTTATATTTTGCCTCCTCAGATATAAGGCACTTGTGCTTGTGTTTTTTTCCAAACCTCGAAGGAGTTCTGACATGCACTTCTTGGTATCTCCTTGGTTTTTATCTATTTAATCGTCGCAAAAAGTCGTTCTTTCATGAGTTTTGGAAACAGAAAAAAGTCGCAGGTGGCAAAATCAGGTGAACACGGTGGTTGAAGCATGATTACGGTGTTGTTTTTGGCCAAGAAATCATGAAAAAGCACTCTGATGAGTGAGCAGATGCATGTATCATTATTTTACAATACCAGATAGTTTCATCGTATTGCTTCTCGATGGACATTGGGCTTTTCCATTGGACATTGGTTTCAATGTCACAACTATATTGGTACATATGATTCGTCAGCAGTTATGACCCTTTTAAACAAATGTTGATCGCCATTGACGTCATTTAACAACCATAATGCTTAGACTCTACTTTTGCCCGTAGTAAACCATCAGCAATTGAGAATGTGTACCGTTCTCAAATTTTTCAGAAGATAGCACTGCGAATGAAGCGCTGATTTAAGACTTGAACAATGTACTTTCCACTCGAAATGTTCAGCAATGCTGTCAGTTTTCACATTAAACAATGGCAGTTATCAACATAGGATATGAATTTTTTACGTAATTTGTCTATTGAATTGTTTTGAACAAATAGAGAAATTCAATATTTTTTGAAACACGCTTCGTGGTATTAGCCAGGGGAGTAGTTGTTTTCTGATAGGCGTCAGTCCATTCAGCCTACTGTGTAGGTATATCCAAAACTGGCTTGAACGTTCAAAGTTAGATTTGTTTACTGCCAGTGTTCAAGCATAGCCCACTGACTAATAAGAAAGATAGTAAAATTGATTTTTCCAATACTCAAACTCTCCATATTAACACATTTGAAAACTCCATTATTGTTCTGAATTCACCAGAAATAAACCAATTAACAGAACACAAGATCAGGCAAATATAATAGTTTTCCATCAAACATTACACTTTATTCGAATTTTGAAAACAATAAACATCAAAGTAAACAAAATGTGAGTCATGAAGAGTTATTCAAATTGTTTTTTCCATTTGTGAACAAACTATTCAATTAGGAACTGACAATTTATCGGTATTAGTACGTATTACGTATCTATTTTGAATATGAAGCCAACCAATTTTGCTAGTGAAACATCAGGAAAAAACGACGGCAATCAGGCCCGGCAAATGATACTTCTCAAATAACATATGAATCACTGGTTGAAAAACTTTTTAAGGGAAACAATATTATCAGTGCCTATGGATCACATACCCAATTTATGAATTCTATGTCAATAGATTCGAAAAGCATACAATGCCGTTTTTAAGGAATCTGAAAGTCTTCCGTGTTGAAATTTCTTCACTTCAATGTATGAGGAACTACCAAAGGAAGGAATAATAAAAGCCAATTGAAAATTAACGTTTTACAAATCCAGAGACATATTTTGCGAAAACATCTGCGTACGAAACTATAGCATGTGAATTATTCATAATCATTCAAATTTTTTACATATCCTTGTCACGTATCATAAATTTCAAGCGGTATGCACTAACAATAATAATAGAAATTATCATTGTATTACCTGTACGTGATGGGTCCTATTTCCTTGACTTTAATTTTACTGTCAGTACCATTCATAAATTCTTCAGAATTGGTGACATTAAAAATATATAGTTTGAAAATAACTTCATCAGGAGGGTTTAACCACCATTCATATGGGGGCAGACCTACAACAAAAACTATATATTAGGAAATAATAAAAATTCCGCTAAACATTACTGACTGCACTCAAATATATCAAGTTATACAACAAAAAGGAAATCGATATGAATCATGGATAATCCAAGATAATGATTAAACAATTTCCACATTATGACGTCGAGTGAAATTGAGTAAAATCCATAGTGGGAAAATTGTTGAATTGTTATAACGTGTTATTAATTTTTAAGTGACGGGTCAGTTATTCACAATTAAAGGATTACTGCTTTCTGATCAAAATTACCCTCATTAAAATATTTAGAGCGCAGCACTGCCTCAGTCATTTTTTGTAATCGAGATTTTTTTCGAGTTATTATATTATACTGACGCGATTGTTATTGAAACAATTTGTTGGATTCTCTTTTTCAATAATGTGGCGAATGCGCAGGGAAAGTCGATCCTCGATTAGTTTCTGAGATTTTTGAAGATTTTTTGACGATATGAGGCTTCTATGATTTGAGAGTGATCTCTTCTCAATACATAATAGTCATTGCAAAGATGGATCCCTGTCACAACTCATTCAAAACAGTTACGATCATAGGAAAAAAATATTGTTGGAATCAGTTGAACGCAAAAATAAACGAAATTAACATCAAAATTTCAATGATTGTATCAGTTGCATCGGAAAAAGGAAGTTTGGGGGAAGTCTGTGAACCTTTGATGGTACTTCCTGGGGTATACAGCATTAATAACTCAATCGCTAGGTAGTTAAATAGATAATCCGCCATCTGTCATCTTGAATTTGCATCTTTTTCAAAGATGCCTACCAGTGAAGCCTTGTCATTCGATACCCATATTGAGGTAGTTGTCGCCATTTTGTAGCTGCGGCCGTCTTGAATTTGCACCTTTTTAAAAGTGTATTACTATCCTACTAGTCAAACCTTGTCATTTGATACTCATACTGAGGTAGTTGTGAATAAATATGTGATCCGCCATTTTGTAGCTTCGGCCATCTTAAATTTGCATTTTTTTCAAAGTGTACTACTATTCTACTAGTCAAGCCCTGCTATTTGATACTCATATTGAGGTAATTGTGAAAAAAGATGTAATCCGGGATTTTGTAGTTGTGTCATTCTTCGACTTACAATGATATCGAATTTATTAAATTGTATTGTCGTCAAAACTGAATGCGTATACCAAATATCAGATTATTATGTCAACAGGAAGGGGGTCAAACTTCAATCACTAAATTTGACCAAAATAAATGAATGAACAAACAAACAGGGCAAACTGTATAAAACCGTTCAAAAATAGATCAAATCATTCTGTTCAACACGAATCATTACATAGTATAGGTAAAACAAAGTCGCATCCCGCTGTCTGTTCCTATGTAGATATGCTTAGATTTTTAAAATATCCAACGGATTTTGATGCGGGTTTTTAATAGATAGATTGATTCAAGTGGAAGGTAAAGTACCTACATATACAGGGCTATTCAACACGAATCATTACATAGTATAGGTGAAACAAAGTCGCATCCCGCTGTCTGTTCCTATGTAGATATGCTTAGATTTTTAAAATATCCAACGGATTTTGATGCGGGTTTTCAATAGATAGATTGATTCAAGTGGAAGGTAAAGTACCTACATATACAGGGCTATTCAAATTCGTTTCTGTACATGGAGATCTCGTAAACGATAAGAGATAGAGTGTCAGTTCAATTGTGGCGAAGTTGCGTATTTTAGAGACCTATTCAATGATGTGAATGAATCGAATATAGCTCTTTTGGTTCCGGAGATATACAGGAAAAACCAAAAAATCCCCAATATTATTTTTTGCCTATACCTACCTTCTTCATTCGCAGACATATTGAAAATCTGTCCACATTTTGTTAT